ACTTGACTTTTGTATCTATTTCAACACTTTCTTTTCTTCTTTAGTAGATTTTGGTGGGTAAAGACGAATATCATGGCAGTGCGGATCTTCTGGGGGTGCCAAGCGGTGGAAAAACTCTCCATTTTGACTAACAAAAAATATGTTCTCGATTTCGGCATCAATAGAAAGAACAGGGATGAAGACGACAAGATTCGAAACTTGTTTCTTGCTCAGAAACCAGGAGAAGCGGAGAAAGTAGTTGGCTTCCACATGACACAGATACATCCACCGGATCGGGCTCATTTGGGGATCTATTTAATTTCGTGTATACTCTTAAGTATTTTCTAATTTGTCTTTGACAGAATAAAGCTATCTAAATTTATGAATTTCTCTAGTATTTTTAATAAACAAAAGATGGAGACCAGTTTTATTTGATGTAGTAGATTTATTATTTTTGTGGGGAAACTGACAACAACAGAGATCGAGAGAGTAAGATCAAGAATGAAAAAGAAAAGACGAGAAACTAACCTTCCATACGAAGACGGTAATCTCATATTGGCTACCTCCAACCAAAAAAACATATCTAATGGTACGTCCACTAACAATAGTGCTATCGGCTTGTATAAAACCAAAGTATAGAAGGTTACACCAAGAAATATATATACACGACTTATTAGTGAGTTATATACTCGAACCCCCTCCTTCGTCTTGTAATCTTTCGACAATAAAACTCTATGATATAGCCAATTTGTCCCTTGTTTTTTCTACTTTCGGCTTCCACACATTTTTTGTTGGTTTGTTCCATATAACTTTGATCGTGTTTTCATACCTCAGTTCACATACTGTAATTTCAATCCCATAATACATAATAATTAGGTTTTGTTCCATATAATTTCGATAGTGATTTCATACTTTTTTTTTTTATAAACAATGATTTTATACTTCTGCTTCTGTTCACATTATCACATACTATAATTTCAATCTCATAATACATAATAATTAGTAAAAGATTAGTTTCATCGTCATTCAGTTAGAATTTTGGTATAAAAATGTAATAACCATAGATATCCAGCTAAAGTTCCCAAGCACAATTCAGAAAGGTAGAGTAGAAATGCCAAGAAACATGGCCTAAAAACAGTTGTAGAAAAATTCATATTATATGAGTTAACTATAGAGTTTAACTGTTTTTTCAAACATATTTAGGCAAAACATATGTAAAAATAAAGAAGACATAAGTGAAAATTAGGTAAAAAAAAATAAACCATTAATGTTCAATTTAAGGCATATGTTTTTTAACCAAACTAGTTTTAGGGCTCATATGCTTTGTATGAGCTAAAATAAACATGTAATTTTTTTTTTTTGATTTATGAAATTACCTGAACTTGCTTAATTCTAAACTAAGTACTAAAATTATTTTTGTTTTAAGGAATACCGAAAACTCAAAAGTGATTATAAAAAAAAGGTTAGATTTCACAAATAACAAGTATAAAGTTGGAGAGGATATGAAACAAACGAAAAAAGAGAATGAGAAATCTATATTATGATTGGATTAAGTTATCATTAGTCTCTAACTCAAACGTGTTATTTATCATGATTGGGACACGAGATGAAATTTCACATTTAAGTTAATGACTAATGAGAATTGTCTTTAGTTTCTACAAACTTATTTCAATTCACTACAGTAAACATAGCCACAAATTTATGACAAATAAATATTTGTAACAAAAATTAGCTACAAATTAATACAATTTTGCGACTAATTAATAAAATTAGCTAATTGTAACAAAATTGTAGTTATTTTTGGGTAATTTGCTTCAACCATTTGTTGTAATCTCTTACACTATAGTTGTCATGATTTGTGAGTTTTATCTACGAATATACGTAACAGAGTTTGTAGCTAATTTCCCACAATTAAAAATGTCGCTATGGTGAGTCAAATTGTGATACAACATGTTTGTGGCCGTCTGTAACTAATTTTTTACCATTTGCTACAAAAAATAATTACGCAAAAAACGTTTATAGCAAATTTGTTGCAATCGCGTATTTGCTACAAATTCGTTCCATAGCAACAAAAAAAATACGTAGCTATGTAGTTATTTGTCGTGTATTTTAGATGCAACATGTTGTGTACACACACTACAAGAAAAAAGTCAATTTCAGACGGTCGAAACCGTTGAAAAACCGTGAGAAATAGCCATTTCTGATAGATTTCCAATGGATTTGTCCGTTTGTCCTAGAGCGTCAGAAATTGATAATCCGTTGGAAATGCGTTGGAAATTTTCGACGGATTACAGACGACATGATTTGGTCGGTAACTCCGTTGGAAAACAACCGTCGATAAATCGTGGGAAAATTGCCACCAGTTTCCAACGATTTTGCTAAGGAAGAATTTCCAACCGATTTCAGACGAACACGATAAACCGTTGTAATTCGGTTGGAAAAATGAAAGTGACCTACAATTCAAATATCCACCAAAATCGG